TGAGCCATTGTTGGCGGGGCCCCCCCTATTCGTCTAAACTCCCAGGTTGGGTACCGTCAACGGAGGAAACCTTGTGCCAGCCAAGGTCCCTGAAGTTAAGGGTTAAGGGTTTAGGGCTTAGGGTTTAGGGTTTAGGCTGGGAATTCGGGGACTTGAGTGGCGCAGGATGTGCTCCATGAACGGCATGTCTTACAGGCAAGGGTTCTACGTTCTTTGTCGCGGATCTCGACAACGGTGCTGATTTCTTCACCTGTCGCGAGCAGACGAAGCGTGATCCTGGCAAAGGGGAGGGGCCCTGTGACTGCTTGGAGGATACACATTGTGAGGGGTAAGCCCCATACCCCTCAACACCCTAAACCCTAAACCCCACGCTGACCATCCGCTTTAATGTCCCAGACACCAAAAACCAATCGGAAAATTTGGAACTAAGGTCCCAAAGCTAAATTATGGCGGTCTAGCCTGGCGCCAGTACACGATTCAGGTTGAGAGCTCAGGGTGTGGGTTCAGGGCTTGGGGACCTAATCCAACCCTAATCCCTTCAGTGAAGGCACGTGCGCCCAAGTAACCTCCCTAGACACCTGAACCCAAAGCCATGCTTTCAAAAAAGTCCAAAGGAGAAGACCTAATGGACTTGTACTGCTTGCCTGGGTAATATGTTAGGTGGACCCCCCACCCAGTAATAGTGACTATAGGGGATAATAGGGATTATAGTAGGGTCCTCTTATATTCCTATTATACGACCATTACAGGGTGCGGGTCCTCCTAAGTAATGTGTTGCACGCGCGGTCACAATCGCACAACATTTATTCTGAACGGCTCTGGCTACTCTTGCCATTTCCTGTCAACACGCTGCTTCTTTTCTACTCCTGCTGCGGCTACTTCTTCTCTTCTTGATCCTTCTCCTCCCCTTCTAGTATTGGCTTTCGAATAATAGTAGCACTATCATTGCCAATTGTCTCATTATGAATGATATTACCTGGCTTATCGCCCGTAATGTTGACTTTATAATTGCAACCAGTCTTACCCGTATGAGCTTGTCTATATAATCCCTTTTCTAACCCCCTTAAACGGTTTTCGACCCTAAACCCTAAACCCTATGTAACCCCCTTTAAGGAGTTTAGGTTTAGATTATGGCTCCTACAAAAGCCCTTGGAATGATACGGTCCAGTAGCCCGGAAGTGTTGCGCATTGCAGGTGTCCAGCAATGCGCGTAAGGACTTCACAAGTCTGCAGCGGGTCTGGGCGTCCTGCCGTCTTAGAATTTCTTTCCTACTAACCACCAGTAAGTTGAGGGCTTTCCGCTCAGAGTGCCGGAACTTCCTGTTGTCATCGTCATCTCTAGGCATTAGATAGAATGTGATACCACCTACAGGATATGACAAATTTGCTACCATATCTTGGTTTCTGTCTCGGAGGGACTCAAACCTTCCGTATGGTGCGCGATGGCGGTTGTATGGGTGGTTTTGAGAGCATCACGAATCTCAAGATTGTTGGTCCCTAGACTAGGGTCTAGGGAGTCTAGGGTTTACGGATTATTCACTTGACTGAGCCCAGTGCTACTGAGAAAACGGAGCCAAAAGATGACGGTAGCTTGGCCGTCCCCAGTACTCCAACTCTTTATTCTTCCATTTTAGTGAACTTCTCGGTGTCTCAACGTAATGGGTCCTAGTTGAACCTCACAGGGCCCTTTCTAGCAGAAGGAGAGGCCTCTTGCTCGGAATGAAGGACTGCAGCCTTAGTACTACTATTATTATTCGTATTCTTACTCGTATTACTATTATTACTAGTCGTACTAATATTATCTGCTATTACTACAATTCCTATTTACTATTACTACCATTACTAATATTAATATCATTAGTATTATCATTTTTACTGTTAATATTATTATTACCATTATACCTAGGCAATTCCCAGAATGGTCCCCGCTGTCACAAACCCTTTTTTCGGCATTTAGGCTTGCACACGGCCAGAAGGAGTGCCCACCAAGATCCAGGAGCACAAGCAGTCACTGGCTTGACTCCAGACGTAAGCAAGCCGCTAACTCTGAAACCTTAAGACCTGAACGAGAAGAGGCAAACAGGATCTTGTTCTCATCATGGTTTTGTATGCGTCTCTCTGGAAGACTCGGCTGATCCGTCTTCGCCGGTCAAGGGCTTTACGAACATGTAGACTGTTACCCGGCTTTGTTTTGACAGGCAGCCTGACATGCATAATCAAGCAAATTTGTGTTTAGGGCTTAGGGGTTTAGAGCATGGGAAGCCGGGAGCGGCGATGTTTAAGATCCTGATGCACCTTGACACGGGGAATCAAGCTGAGAGACTTAGTTTGCTGTAGCAATTAGCATGTGGGGATCCTCATGACAGAAATACTATTGGACGTCCCACAGATGCAATTACAGGCTATACAAGAATCATAGGCATTACCTTTTGCACTCTGCAGGAGTTACTCTAATAAGCTCCCCTGAACGTTACATAAACCGTAAAAAGCCCTACTGCCTGAACCCTAAATTAGCTTGATACCTCCTCCCTATACCCTAATAACCTTAATACCTCCTCCCTAAACCCTAAACCCTAAATAGCCTTAATACCTCCTCCCTAAACCCTAAACCCTAAATAACCCTTAATACCTCTTCCTACTCCCTAAACCCTAAACGCTAGATAACCTGAATCCCCCAGCCCTAAAGCCGGGGTCCAGCCCAATCTCCCACGAGAGGTCTGCAAGTACGGCGGCACAGGAGCCTGGGTAGACCATACTCCCCTCCCCTTTATGCAGGGATATGTAGGGGTTGGGGTTTAGGGATTAGGGTGGTTGTCAAAATGATGGTCCCTTTTTGGATCCCTATTATAATACGGCACCTAATATTTAGGGTACCCAAAAAGGGACCATAATTTTGACAACCACCCATTAGGGTTTAGACACGCGCATCGCGCAGCAGTGCAGGCACGGCAAAAGGGTCCAAGAGCGGGGCTTTAGCCCTAGGGCCAAAGCATGCAGGCTACTCGCAGCTGCAGCCACTGCAAGATCACTTTGCAGCAACACCAGCTTTAGGGTGTAGGGATTTAGGCTTAGGGGTTGGAGTTTATGGATCAGAGTTTGAGGATTAGAGTTTAGGGATGAGAGTTTAGAGTTTTAGGGATGAGGATTTAGGGTTTAAGGTTGAGGGATGTATGACAGGATAAGAAGATGGAACATGGAAACTACTTCATTATGTAGGGTGTAGGGTTTAGGATTTGGAGTTTAATGTTTAGTGGGGAGTGGGAAAGCAAATGGAAACTGACTCATTAAATTTATTCTTTAGGGTTTAGGGCTTAGGGCTACTATTAGAGCCCCCGACCCCCCAATGTTGACCTTCCCATCACCGTATTGCATACCACAATGGAAAGGCTCTGCGAGGGTGGGGCATTTCAAGTAGGAGTTGCAGTAGTAGTGGTGGTAGTGGCGGCAGTGGCAACAAAAGTAGCGGTGATTTCCATGGAGGCTAGTAATGTCGACCATGGTAATGTAAGACCTTTGAAGATGTTACCTGGCTATGACTTGGGCCTTCTCCTACCTAGTCCCTGGACCCAATCAGCCACTACATAACCCCAGGTTTATTGGAAGCAATGGGCTATGTCTCAGCCAGGCACACATGTCGAAGCATCGCAAGATTTACATCTCCATCTTTACAAATCCCAGTTTCGATGCTTTGCGTATCGATTTGGATCTCCAGTAGCCGTGATTCTAACCCTAAAGCCCAAACAGCTGGAAACCTGGTCTTAACTGGGTTGCTGTTCGGGGACTTAAGTACCTGTAACAAGGAAACCCAATCATCTACTACATAACATATTAGGGTAACTTAGCTGAAGTTCCTGAACAGCAACCCAGATCCCTAAACCCTAAACCCTAGATAGTAAATTCCATTTCCTTTTCCATTACCCCAGTTATTATCCCTACATGATCCCACTACTACCCCTATATAAACCTTATATAATCCCACTAGTTTCCCTATATTATTCCTTTATAATCCCCAACACAATCCCTAGTATAATCTCCAATATAACCCCTGAAATAATCCCGAATATAATCTCTAGATAGGTTCGTTAACAGCAGCCCTAAACCCTAAACCCTAAACAGCTTAACCCTAAACCCTAAACTCAAACAGCTTAAGGATGGCGCCGGCATCCAAGTGAGGGATCACCGCCCAGGCGGCTTCCCGAACGTCGGGGTGCCGGTCCTCGGCTTCACAGAGCTTCGGGCTGTGCCAGTCTTGCCAGGGGTCCTTTTGGGGTTCTCCTATTATAGGGTTTTGGGTGTAGGGCATACTGTCCCCTATACCGTAGACCCTAAACCCACTAATTACTAAGGACTCTCGTAAGGACTCTGATAACTTTGGCCTTTTTTGGAGCCCCATGTTCGTGGAATCTGCCTTTCAGTGGTAGGGGGTGACCGGAAAAGAAAATAGAAGCTATCATAATATGTTGGGTCAGCGTTTTGGGGCTTACTTACGCCTGTGGGGAAATGGGAGGAGGAATATCGGTATCATTGTAAGAGGTTTTGTCATGGGGCCACTATGGTCTCCCCAATGAGTGGGCCCACAAATTAAAGGCCTCATTCGGTATTCTTGGGGGCTACTAATGCTTATTGAGCGTTATGAGTCTCCCAAAGCCCTAAACCCTAACCCTGAAACCCTAAACTCTCTAGGGGGCGTATTCCCTTATTCCCTATCAAGCCCCAGCAAGCATAAATCCTTTAAAACACCCTATACTATAATCCTCGTTCTACGGATTATAGGTGTGGCCTGAAGGCTGCTTTGCAAGTTCCTGGGCGTCTGTGAAGTTTGGTGTCTATACCGGGGACTGGCTTCTTCGGGATCCTTTCAGGGGTCATAATCCTGGAGGTATAGATACAGATATTGTTTGTACAATCCCCCAAAAAGCATATGGATTTTCCAAAAATTGGTGTGCTTTTTTGACAGAGACTACCCCGCCGCAGGTTAGCCCTTATAACCCTACACAAGCCACCAATGAACCTACAGTTATCGCAATCAGGAAGCCGTGCAGTTTAAATGTGCATCCATATCATTCACATTAGTTGTTGACTCAGTTGAAGTTCTTTGAGTTAAAAGCGACCCAAACCCCAAACCCTAAACCCCAAACCCCAAACCCTAAACCCAGATCCAATTTTGGACTGAGCTACTGCCAAGGCTTTACTCAAGGACTTCTTGTGCTGGGAGTCCACCTGCCCAGGCCGAACCACCCCACAGTGTAGGGATGCAAAATTCCCCCAGAAGAAGACTGTGATTTTGGAGTTCTTAGAGGCTTACATAGGGGCTTAGGTAGGGGATCCAATTTTTTGACCCTCCCCAAGGAGGGCCGGGACTGGGGACAGTGTAGGGGTGCTTCTTCAACAACTCCCATGATGCATAGGCCTTAAAATCGCTGGAACTATGGAATTCTTGCTCCAACAAACTCGGCATGGCATGTACAGCGTGGGCAGATGCCACAAAATCTATGTGTTCAGGTAACGGTGCTGTGTGGGCCCAGATGTTTGTACACTCTCAGCCCAGGCAATGCCAATCTCCTACGCAGACTTGTCCATGTCAGTGCAGTGCCTTCACCTCGAGTTTTTTCAAGCACCGCAATGCGGCCGCCTTGACCGAAGGATCTGCGTCCTGTGAGGGTAAGCAAATGTGCCTCTTTTGAAAGGGTTGGGGTCTCCAGCGGTTCTTTTAGGGTTTCATGTTAGCTTGGGGGAAGGCAGCAAGAGGGAGGCTTCATGGGTTTCTATGTTGGGCTTGGGTTGAGGTAGTCAGCAAAAGGATCGTCACACCGCTTAGGCAGGTAGGTACCAGAAGGACTCGTCATCACCACGCGGAATAAACCAATCACCGGATTGCATTCAGCTACAATGAAGTGGACTTGAAGAATCAAGCACGAATAACACTGTAGGGGTGTTGATAGGTACCAATATCATTTTGAGTTCTACTTGAGCTACCATACACCTGGACCATAGTTATACAAGGACTCTAGACTGGTATGTATCTAGGCCCTTACCCTACGCCTCACTTGGCCAAAGCTGCCAGAAACTTGTGAAAGTGTCCAACTCTACCAGGCGTTCCGCTGGGGTGGCGCAGGTTCCTGTAAAAAGGAAGGGAACTGAAGACACAATGGCCCTTGTGACAGATGAGACCTGCAAGTTTAAACGAGTCTAAACGGAGTTGTGGGCGCTATCCTTACAACGCGCATCACATCGGTGATCCAGCCGTGTACTGAATGGTTTGAACATCACAGAACTGCTGGCACACTACGAATACTCAAGCGATCACTGACACCATTCCAGTCAAGCCTTGCTTCAGCGCAACACCTCTTTCCAAGTCGCTTGCAATAGCGCTGACTGAAGAAGTCAACTCCCACCGTCAGCTGCTATGGGCTAGGTATAAATATCCATGTCACGAAACACAAATGTTGTGGATATTCATCCTTGTAAGAGATGATAGGATATTACCTGATGATGAAATGTGTCTTCCTCACTTCCGTGAGGTCTCCTCACAAATGGAGCAAGCAGAGAAAATCGTCCGGGATGATCTGAGCAGGAGGCTGAATAGAAGGCTCCAGGTCCAGCAGAGGGAGGTCCTCGTCCCGTCGCTTCCTCTCCTGCTGCAAGCGCACCTGCTTTGCAGCAGCTTGGACTTCCTCATCTTGGCCGAAGGCGGCCGCAAAACTTAAGGCCTTGTGGCCTCCTGGAGCCGTCAGGGCAGCCAGCACAACTTCACGGTCCCGCTGCAGCCGTGGAGGGGCGAACTCCAGTGCACGGCCGCGGGAGCGAACAGCCGCCAAGACCAGTTCCCGATCCCGTAGCTCTGCAGGAACTCGCTGAAGAGCAAGGCCACGTCGCTCCACCAAGTTCAGGGCAAGCTTCCGATCGGCCTGGAGCCGCAGCATCTCCTGCTCGAGCTCGTGGCCGCGCCAAGGCTCTGGCGACAGGCGGAAGGTGGCCCTGCGCACAGCGGCCCAGACTCGGACTTGCACTTGCCGTGGCAGCTCCCGTGGCAGCAGCTGCCGCTGTTCAGCACGCATCGGTACCAGAAGCATTGCCTGTGCCATCCCGCCATCCTTCACACAGCTTCCTCGGAGCGCAAGCCTCTCCAAAGGAGTCTCTCGCTGCGTGTCTGAGCCAGAATGTACTGGCGATAGTCTTGAGCTTGAAGCGCTTCCCTGATGCTCCTGTTTGGCGTCTTCATCTGTGGGATCCCGGGCATCTCCGCTCATGGGAACTTGGGAGATATGTCTACCCGTCTATGTTGCATCATGCCTTTCTTGCTTGCCGACCCTGTGAGGTGCTGGGCTGTTCTACTGCAGGGCTGCATGGGATCGCTGTTGCACGCAGCTGACTTCTGTAGGGCCTGCGAAAGGAACTACCGGTCCATCAAACGGCTGCAGCATGTGGCCATGACAGCAATTGCGACTCGCAGCAATTATGCTTTCACGCTGGCTACGGTACAACTGCCGAAGAAACCAACATCAGCACCGAATTGCATCGAAAAGGAGGAAAACAATATTTCTGCTACGTCTCGCGTCGTTTTGTCCATGATCCAAATCTCCACAGACGAAGCCTAACGCAATGGCATCGTTACAAGCCTTGTAATCCACTTCGGGAAAGCAAAGACCACGACTGCTTTAAATGGACGCGATGGCCTGCCCGTCCCTTGTCAGCATCCCCGTGGCAAAGTCCTTGAGGCGTGGGGTCAGGGCAGCAAGCTTCCGCCGTTCCTGGCCATTTCAGGACTCTTAGGCGATCTGCCTCCAGCGAGGCAATAGCACTACGATCAATAATCCCATCCTCAAAAATTCCACGCCGCCCTCCCGATACTTAATACCAATATCGTGCCATTATGTGATGGAACATGTCTTATAGTATAGTAGTACTAGGGGGTGGAGAGGATCATTAATCGAAATACGCGCGCCATCTGTCCATACCTCCACCGAGAACTCTGGCCTACAATCAGCGCGCACTTTCAACAGCCAAGTTGTTCGATACCACCACTTCTCCACTGCAGTAGTAGTTCAAAAGCAAGCTGGGCGACATCATGTGTGCCTTGGCGTCGTATTAAGGATTCAGCACGGGAAGGGAGCAAGGTACACAGATCATGTTGTCAGGAACGTTCCGCACAATTCAGGCTCAGATCTACTGCGGGGTACCCCTACGACGCAAAAGATATGAAGAAATAGCAGCATTCTAGCATAATCTGTTAAGACGGCCTACTCGCTAATTGATCTTAGAAGGCTCTCAGGTGTTAGAGTTGTATCTCCAGGCTCCAAGCCTAAGGACATGCAAATCTTACATGGGGCTAGTAGGGAAAAAGGGCATATACTACATTATCTGGGATTATATAGTATATGAGTAGTATATTCCCCTATTCCGTGCTAACCACCAGTATGAAATGGTCACCTGCACGAGAAGCTTGGTTAAAGCTTTATGCAGCACAGCAAGAATCGTTCCCCCGCTCAATCTATGTGAACGAGATCTCCCGGTGCCCTCGACGTAGGAGAAAAAAAATCACACGAACCGTGTACAGCCTGGACAGGTCTTGATTCAAGGCTCAAACAAGAAGAAGAAGAAGCACAAGGCAAAACAAGCACTCAATGGGCGAAAGCAAAATCCCAAGTTCTGAACCTTCAGCCCTGCCCTTTTTCAACCCCGAACCCTAGACCTTAAAAGATAGACCAGGTGAGCTATAGTCTGAACTCCTAGCATCCCCCTCTACAACGCTTATAGTGATCCCCTAGATCATCCCCTATATAGCCCCCCTTAAAGAGTTCAAACTTTAGCCCATGTGTAGCCTCCATTTGAAGTCGAGGCAAGGCATCCACTGCGGCACTGCGCACGGCTTCATTCTCGTCGGTGAGGCAGCGGAAGAGTTCGCGGGGAACCTTGGGGTCGAGGGGTCTCTTGGGCTGATATGAACTTTCGCCTAAACAAACTCCTTCACGGGGGTATTATCAGGGTTATGAAGGATACTAGGATTTTGGACCATAGTACATATGGCGATGGCTCAAGAAGTGGGGTGCACCTGGCAAGCACTAGAATCTACAGGTCCAGGAGCGCAGAATTATGACCCGTGCCCATGCCATTCAGAATGAACTTAGCACGTCTGACTTCAGGCCTCGGATGGGCTCGTTCTCTACGATTCTTGCTTGTAAAAGGCCTCCCCAAACCCTAAGCCCTAGCACAACATTGCAGGAAACACGCAGCTGTAATGATAGGCTGCCCTACGCCCAACCTGGGAAGGGCTTAGGGAAAGTTACTGCGAGCTTTGCAGGGAGTGTTTGGGTCTAACCCATGCTTTAGGCGGACCTTCCACCCAATAATAGTGACTACAAGGTGTAATGGGAACTATATTTAGGTCTTATTCTCTGGTGACCCCCAAAATACGATAATGCTTGCTATAGGGTACCCCTAATTTTGGGAAACTCCCATATTCCTATTATACCACTATTAAGGGGCCAAACCTAGACCCTAAACCCTATACCCTAAACCCTACTACAGGGGCCAAAGCATCTGAGAGGCGCCCTTGCACGCTCTGTCATCCTTCCCCGCCTTAGCCACGAAAGCTGACAGGTCCACAAACCTTTTTAGGGTTTCCGATGCTACAAAAAAGAAAGAACAAATGGTAATAAGAGTAGAAATATTACTAAGAAACAGCGGTAGTGGCAATAGAAATAAGAATTCGTAATTTAGGCCAGACCCCGACAGCAGCAGCAGTAGCAGCAGCAGCATCAGTGGCAGTACTAGCCGTCGTCCTCGCAGTCGTAGTCGGAATTGTTGATTTTTGTGCCGCCCACGCCGCAGTAGGAGCAACAGCAATAGTGGCAAATGAATAATTCAAGACGAAATGATAGCTGCAGCTGCTACAATGCCAACCGCTTTGTGCTTATGAAAAAGTTTATCGTCATTCTCGACCTTCTAGGAATGTGTCGCTCTAAACGGTTTAGTCGCATGAACCTGTGAATATGTATTAGTATGTAGACCTCCAGTTCAGCGAAAATGTCTTGGCTCAGTTAATGGTCAGTAGGTGCCAGGCTAGAAGGGAAACGGCTGAAACAGCAGCAGCACGGACGACAGCGTCCGGATCATGCAGCCGTCCCTCCAACAAGGAGCGCGATTGGTTAAATTGGGAGTGCCAGGTGACTATCGCGCGCAAGAAAGGGAATGTGCAGGACAACCTTGACTTAAAGGTAAGGAACAAGGAAATAGAATCCCTGTATAATCCCTATGCAATATATGCAAACACACATGAACACACATGGTAGTTTTCCAAAATAAAGGGACCCCAACATACTATCCCTTATTATACAAACCCTCAAAATGGCACACCCAATTTCAGGAAACCCCCATATCCTTATTCCTAACCCCAGTAAGTTGAAGGGCACACGGCCTGGGTTCCTTGTGCAAGCCTACGCTCTGCCCGGGCACAGA